GTATTTTAAAGTTGATTAAGATAGCTCTTTCAACACAATTCATCATTGTTGATAAAAGGTGATGCGCGTAGCTTACAAGTGTCCGCCACACAGCCAAGGTAATTCAGTATTAAAAGCCGGTTTCCTTGCGCAGCTGTTGCATGCTGATTCACCGCGCTTCTGTTGATGGTGACTTCACTGTCACCTATTGTTGTTTCTAACTCAATTTCTCAAGGTTTTTTGGCTTACTTAAGAAAATAAAATGTTAATATCCAATATGAAGAGTAACCTTTACCCGTTTTTTTTTGTAGACAAGTCCTATCTGCTATCGCCTTCCAGTTTATTATTAAAGCTTTGCTTTCACTATTGTTCCACTTAAACGTTCTACCGCCACTGTCAACCGAACCCAGAGCTGAGTAAACTAGATGTAGTTGACTTTCAGCTTCAATACAAAGATCCTGTTTCTAGCCCAATTACTTGTTATGGTTTTTTTGCTGCTTGCGTGATTTCCCCGCCTTTTCTGTTTCTTGATCGATGAGTTTTTCGGTTTTGTTTACTTCCGCTTTTTTGGTTTCCTTTTGTTTGAAATTTATTGTTGTTTAATTTTCAAATTGTTTACGAAAGAAAATAGTGAGGATGGCAAAAATGACAATAATGCTGCCACATCGTTGCTTGAATATTGTAAAAATATTGAAATAAGATATCTAGACAGTTTAAGGGACTCTAAAACGTAATAACGTTATCGACCCAAAGTTAGCACTTCATTAATGTAATTATTAAGATTTTTGCATTGCAATCGATAGTTCGTCGATTTTTCTTCATTGTTCGTCCATTTTTAACATCAGCTCCTCAGCCAAACATTTATAAATAATTTTTTACATATTACGATTCCCGCATTTAGCCCCTAACGCTACATTTACATAGGACAACTTGAGACAAGACAATTGAGAATATGTATTAGTGTCATATTGTTGTATACAGTAGGCGTCCATAGGGTCAATTCCCGTTCTGCGTTATCGTGAAGTGATAAAAATAAAACCTTCACACCGCATTTATTTCGGTGTTAATTTTATACTTTTCACTTCATTGACCCTCAGACAATTATAAAGACAATACATTTTTACGTTACTGTCGTTTGGCGTGAATTTCAGAATATCCAAACACAAACCACTTTTTCATAATTCTGTGATTTTTGCGATTTTGTCTGGTCTCTTTTAGTTAAATTAACCAAGACGTGAACGAAGTGTCCAATTTACTGTCTTCGAAAAATCAAAGACAGTGACGAAGACAATGAGAGGAATGTGAATGGATTAGTGAAAAAGTGTGTATGTGTTGCTATTGTCTTGGCAAAATTGTCTCTTGTAAACGCCGGGTAGGGTGATAGAATTTCAATATTTTCATTTGTCAACTGTAATAAATCGTTTATTCGTCGTTTGTTAATCCCTTAAATCTAGCAAAAGCCGTCAACAAAATTCATCACTCAACGATTTTCCATTAATCGTTTAAATCATAGTAGGGCCGCAGCACGTCGGATCATTTCCGGCAGTTGCAGCGGATTTTCGCAGCTTTTTTTAAGACATTCAGGACTATAATGGCGGAAAAATATGAGAATAAATATTGTTGCATATACTGTAAAAAATTTGCGGTGCCAATACTTTGGGCCGGCAGTGTATGTATTAAAATTGCATTGGCTACAAAACTGCAAACCCGAAATTTATTCTCTGCAGGTCATTAGGACACCACACCCCTTTATTGACATGTTTTTAAATTTTTTTACATAGAATATGCCATTTTTATTTATAAAAAATTAGTAAATATTAAACACACAAAAGGAAACCTGGGTTAGGGCTGGTTCACACAGAAAGCGGAGCCGAGTCGAGCGAAGCCGTTCCGAGCGAAGTGAAGCTTTCAAATTGCTGTAGCTATATGAAAGTATTCACACAGCAAGCTTTTTCATAAGCGTTTTGGGGCCGAGAGCAAAGCAGTTTTTTATTTTAAATTTGCTATTTAATTTTTCAGCTTCATGACGCTGCTGCAAACAAAATGGCTGAATTTCTTTATTCATTCTGAACGTTTGGAATAAACTTTTTTGTTTATTTATTCTTTAGAACGTTCCTGATGATATGTTGACGTATATTTCAAACGCATTCTGTTTATTCCGGCTGTGAAATGGGATTATCCGGAATGTATAAAGAAACGCAGCCAATAGCAAAATATTGAAATAAAAACGAATTCTACAAGCAATCTTTTGAATAAAATTGAGCAAATATTTTTGCCGCTTTTCATTGAGGGTAAGTTTTGTGATATCTTTGCAGACGAGTCCATGAGAAAAGCTCCGCTTCGCTTCGTTCAGTGTGAACTAGAGATGGGCCTAAATCAACTTTCAAAAACACGCACGAGCCCGCACGTTAAGAATTTTAGTGGGGCCCGGCCCGGCACGACGGGACACGTCCCAGCCCGGAAATAAAGAGCCCACTTTTATTGCACATATGTACATATTTTTAATTTTGTGTTTATGTATGTATATTTACTTAAGGGAATCAATTTTTTACATCAAAGATTTTTCTTATATATTTTCTGGGAGTGGAAGTGGAAGGTATTTTACGTACAGATATGTAAACAAAACTACTAACAGGTCTATTCTGCGCTGGTAACATAAATTTTATAACCGGTAATTAAAGTGTCTGTCAATTTTTAAACCTTTTTCGCATTCTGTGCTCTCTTGTAACCGGTAAATTTGGTTACCATCTCAGCTGGTAACAAAATATTGCCCCGTGAAATATGCAATGCCAGAATTTGCACAATTCTTCATAGCTGAATATTTTAACTGCATTACCAACGTTCCTAGAATCGCGGTGACAAGAACTGGTAACATTTTTTGGTAGTAAAAATTTCCGGTTACAAAATCTACGGTAACGTGCAGAATAGACCTGTTAATGGTATATTCGTAATGAAATGAAGTAAAATAAAATAAAATACCTTTTTAAGAAAGCAAAATGTGTATACTGAGAAAAAATAAAATACATTCAACTATATTTAGTTTGTTCCAATAGCAGTCCGGTTTACAGGTTTTAGTCAGAACTTACAGGAAGTCGTTCCTATTGACATAAAACCTGTAAGTGGGAACACATTTGAGAGAGTAACTGAGCAACTGTTCCTAGTCAGAAGTTACAGGATTTAGTCCGGAGTTTTTTCCTGTAAGTTCATGAAAAGTGTCAAACGATCAGCTGATTTACATGTGCAAACAAAAACAGAAAGCGGTGAAAGCAAAGAACCTTATATTTGTTAAAAAATGGAAGTAAACAACGAAATATTTGAATATGTATAGATTTTAATAATTTTTAGTGATATTTCAGCCAAATCAGTGTAGGGCCAATGACATGTAAACAAACCGTCTGACGTTTTTACAGGAAATAGTGCTTTTTGCGTTCCTATGCACTTCTGCATCTGTTTTCCTTTTACTCTCATTTGAGAGCGTAAAATTGTAGTTTGACAGTTCCACAGGTTTTAGTCCGAAGATCAAAGGAACAGACTAATTATTAGGCAAGGAATTGTTAAAGAAGTAATACTGACTCACCTAAGGCAGACATTATGGCGGAATTAGAGCAAGAAGTTGCCAACCGATAACACCTTGTATTATTGCATACAGGTCACATACGGTATCGCATTACTCGTTACGTAAAAACACATTTTTTGGATTATGACCTATGTACGTCAACGTACTTTATCCCATTCAGATAATGTGACTAACGTATCACTCAATTTTGTTTTGTATGTTTTTCGATCCGTGCACGGATGTTAGTATTGGAGCCCTCTACATACTGAGGATCAAAAGAGTGTGCTAATCTAATGACTGGGAGTGTACGTCTGTTTCTTTACCAATGGCACACAAAAAATGGGTTTGCTCCAATCATCTCAAACTTTCTAGGAATGGAAAATGAATAATGCAACGTGCATTGTATACAGTTCTGTAACTGTTATCTTTAATTTTCATTATAAACAGCATTTCAAAAGTTTTATAGCATTTCAATGTTTAATTAAAATTTCATGTTTTTGCTGCATGTGGCAAACTGCACCACTCATATTTTTCGCATACGGTAGCACATAGCACATCAAACTACATATCAGCTGTTTTTGTTTAAATTTTTTTTTGTGTTGTGGATTTGCTATGAAACTCCTGGATTGGCCAGCGTCCACTATTTTGGTCGATATAAGCTATTAAGCTATTATTATTATTAAGGCGAACACAATGAAAACGACGAGCTACAAACCACAGCTGTCAAATTATTTTAACACGTACTCTTACTGCCATCCCTAAATTGGCGCGTCAAGCGCCAAGCAACTGTCA